GTGATCTCTCTCTCTCTCTCTCTCTCTCTCTCTCTCTCTCTCTCTCTCTCTCTCTTCCAGTCGTTTGGCTCTTCTGCAACACTTGTGAAAGAGACTGCAGGACACGTGTTAACTCATACTGCCTTGCCACAAATGTACAGAAGAATGCCAGTTCCTAGGGATAAGGAGGTCTAGGAGACAGGAAGCTATAGGCTGCTTTTGAGCTTGTACTTGGGAGCAGACAACCTGGACTGAAACGAAGCCTGGAAAGTCTCCCAGACTGTGGGAGAACTATGCGCCTGGGTTTCTGCACACCTCTGACTCCTGACCCCTACCCCGGCCCGTATCCGTGCTTCCTGGTAATGAAGGCAGCAAGAGCACCCATCCATAGTGCCATCCTGAAGGATAGGGTGAAGAAAGCCAAACCGAGGGCTGGGGACAGGGCCTGGTCCAGAGCCCAGCACTTGTTTATTCTTGGCTTTGTCTTCAAGACGGTGAGATTCTCCGTTTGAGCCAAGAAATACTCATCTATGGTCAAAGAAAAATGAAAACAAAACCTGAGAACTCTCTCTAGACACTGGTCCCAGCTCACCAGCCAATACTTATGACGCTGGAGGCTGGAACACAGGCAACGTGATAAGTGCGCAGTGAGTGCTGCTATGTTGGAGGTGTGGGGCAGAGAGGCAAGAGGGGAGCCAGCAGTGGCGAGGTGGGAGCAGTGAAGCCACACCGGGCTAAGTGCTAAGTGGACAGGCCAGCTAACGACCATCAGAGTACTGTAGCAGAGGCTAGAGTCCCAAATGTTCCAGAAAGGGGGACCGGCCACTAACCCTTCCTAATAGGAATCAACAGAAGCTGCACCAAAGATGCAACCCCTCCTGTGGGCTCCGAAAGATGAATAGCACTCCCTGCTGTGTTTAGGCAGGAGTCAAGGCAGTCCAGGCGGGAGGATCACTCCGTGGCCAAGGCCCCGTGGCCCTGATAGCACACACACTGTCACTTCCGGTTACGCCTAACAAGCTGGCCTGGACAGAGTGTGTGGTCTCCAAGAACACCGAGTGGGAGACTAGACTGGAAGGGCTGGGGTCTTGAGAGGCAAGAGAAGGTGTGCAGACCGTGCACCCGAGCTCATGGGCACCACTCAGCATGTTCGAGGGGGGAAAGGGTGTGATCACAACTTCAGGAGAAGTACAACTTGAACATCGATATGAAGATCAGCGCATATGCACACGTCACCCGTGTGGGTAAACTCGAGACAGGCCTGACGAAACAAAAGGAAGAAACTCAGGTTGGGCCCAGTTTCAAGAGTCGTAACAACCCCTGTCTCTCCTTTCACGCCAGCAATGAGCCT